TTTGTACATTTCTTTGCCTTCCCTGCACGAAAATGACGTGAAAATACCTAATTTCACGTTTTAAGGAGGACGTAAACAAGCGACAAGCGACGACGATTTTTTCTTTCTCTACATCGTAATTTTTAGGGAGTTATTATAACTCCAAAAATGGAGTAAAAATTTTAGGTACAGGATAACCCCTTTTTGGGGGTTATTTTAACTCCTAATTCAACTCCGAATTTGGGGTCATTTTTACTCCTGAAAAAGAGTTCTTTTTACTCCCAGTCTGGAGTTAAAATTACTCCCAAATGGGGTTACTTGTACTCCTTACATGGGTTGTTTTTACTCTTTTTGGAGTTAATTTAACTCTGAAAGTGGAGTAAAAATTTTAGGTACAGGATAACTCCTTTTGGGGGGTTATTTTAACTCCTGATTATCTGGGGTCACTTTTACTCCTGAAAAAGAGTTCTTTAAACTCCTTTTTGGAGTTAAAGTAACTCCACGAAAAATAACTCCACTGTAAGGAGTTAAATTAGCCCCAGTAGAGGAGTTATTATAACTCCCTGAAAATTACAGTGCACGTGCAAAGTTGTTGTTTTGCCAATCTAAACTTTTTTGCCGTTGTCGTTGCCGTTGCCCGTTGTTGCTTAAGCTCCCTAGTATAACGTTGTGGACGAAATCATCAAACAATACTTTTTGTCTTTTCAGAGCCCCCCTAGTTCCAGTGTTTTCCTTTGGAGAAAATGACCTGTATGATCAAGTGGATAACTCCACTGGCTCGTCACTGAGGCAGTGGCAAACAAAGGTGAAAGCATACACGGGAGTATCACCAGTTCTCTTCTATGGTGCTCTTGGACTGCTACCTCATAGAAGACCTATACACACTGTCTGTAAGTTAAAAAGTCGTTGCTGAATGTTATTTTAGGGACCTTAGGATTCTAAGACGAGGAGGACTAATAGTACGAGATTTTCTCCATAGTAAGTAGTGATCGCGCGTGAACCAGCGTCATTTTGGCGGGAAAATGTGATAGTCGTCGTCTTTTTACTACGCGTTTTAGCGAGAATGTCGTAGTGACGGACTGACAAGTTAGCAACTGTTAGACGGTTTTATCGTTTTGCGACCGGTAAAACGCTTAACCTTCTTCAAAAATGTTGACTGTGCTAATTTCTTCGATATAAAAAAGAGTGCAATGAAGCTTTCCGCGAAAAAACTTAAAATTAAATCTCGTACTCGTAGTCGTTCTCGTCCTCGAATCAAAAGGTCTCTATTAGGGAAGGTTTTTAGGGGGTCATCAACCTCGTCCCCAGGGCTTTTTCATTTTCATCCCTTTTCCTTTTCACTCTCATTTTTTAAGGAGAAAGTCTTGGAGACAAGGTTTGGGAGTCATTTTAGGATTACAGACCCGCTTACGCAAGTAGCTGCAAGTGGTGAATAAATATCTCGCGGCTTTTATTTTTATACGCGCGCTCGACGGTCTCTTCAAAAAATTGACGATCTGTGAACAGATTAGAACTGTGCCAGCATTATTGGCGCGAGCCCATGAAAACAGATTTGGGTGTTTAAAAAGAAACTGCGTCCTTACCATGTAAATAACAGCTACTCTGCTTCGTGTCGCAAGATTATTGTCGAAGAACCTGGAGACAAAGCCCCGGGGACAAAGCGTTCCCTCCCGCGTAACTGACTGTTATAGTACAATTCCGAAAAGTATACACCGGTGCTTATATTTTTCCATCGTTTTTTCGAGGGCCCTATTTTCGAAGGGTATTTATACATGGAGGTGCTTATAAGAGCGGGGAACTGATATACTATTGAAAATTTTAAGGTGTTTACAGTAGCTTAGTACAGTATGAGAGTTTAAAGTTTATACCTTAGTTAACAGTGAACTTTGATCCTATGCGGTAGCTCAAAGTACAACTCAGAAATCTAACGTGTATTTAAAAAAGACTCGTATCGTTCGAACGTTTCCAACCTTACGCTTTAAAGGCAAACGGAGGGACTAGTTTGAGAATTTTAAGGCAATATGAAATATCGTGGTGTGAACCGTACTTTTTTTTCTTAATTTCAGTTGGTGCTCCTTTGAAAGTCAAAAGAGTCGAGAATCCTACGAATGAGGAGGTAGATAATCTTCATTCGCTCTATGTTACAGCGTTGAGAGAATTGTTTGACAAACACAAGAAGAATTATGGAATCGCTGAAGATGAGCATTTGGAAATCAACTGATTAGCTAAATTACTGGATAAATCATGAGAAAAGTGAGGAAGAAGATATAGAAATACCAAGTCATAAGTTACATTTTCCTTGACAAAAGTAGGCTCTGATAACAGAGAAACTTGAATTGTTAAAAGTGAAGTTATATATACGACTACAGTGGCGGACCTAGACCTTCAGATAAGCGGGGAGGGGGGGGGAAGGGGGGGCGAGGGCGGTCATCCAGACCCTGAGATAAGGAGGGGCCCGGGCCCCCCAGCCCCTTCGCTGGATTCACCACTGGACTAGTACGACTAGTTCTGCCTGTGTAATTTGAGTTTCATTGACCAAAAACTAATTTCGATGCAGAAAGTAGAATTCCCCCAATGTAGGGGGAAACTGAGACAGCCTTGAATTCTGGATTCCACGTCGTGGATTCCGGATTTCCAGGCAGTGGATTTCAGTCGTTAGTAGGATTCAGGATTTTCTTAAACTGTATTCTGGCCGTTCCAAAGCCCAGGATTCCGGATTTTACAAGCAATTTTTTTTCCGGATTCCAGATTCCACGAACTGAAAAATTTCTAGATTCCTTTCATGGGGTGATAGAATCTTAATTAAGAAGGCGGAAGGCTGAACACATTCGGTTACACTGCAGTCATTCCGTTTAGTTTTTAATTAATCTTTTGTAACCTGGTCTTGCCTCAACTTGCAATACCATAAGTTAAAAAACGGATAAATGAAGGAATCTAAATACCCTACCTTTAAAGTAAGTACAAGGATATACATGATATCTAATAGTCCAGTTTCGAGTTCGCTATGACCGCTGAATTAAAGAAGTGAAGACGCATTTTTTACAGGCTTAGCCTCCATCTGAAGTAATATATTCACAAATTCCGACGAGAAAAAGACCTGTTTATTACTCTGTCTATTGTGTATCTTCAAATTTTAAACACTTACTTGCCCGAATTTCTGAATATTCTACTTTACGTCGAGGCTAACCCTGTATAAATGTGCCGTTAATGTTTGTATTTAGCGGTAATTTTTAATTCGAAACTGGACTATTTGTTGATAATTCGTATATTTCTCGCTAGTTTATTGTTAATGTCTCAGTGCTAAATCTGGTGTCCCCAGGGTAAATTTTGATCAATGTATATACCTAGATATTTCATTTCACTCTCACGTAAATTTGATTTAATTTTGTTGATGAGAATTACAACTATAGTTTGTCTTCGCAAGGTTAATATTATAGAAAGTTTGCCAGCGATACAACCCTTATAAACTAAGAGTCTTTTGTTGTAAAAAATAATTTCAATTCCTCATTCATGGCTCTTTGAAGGTGTCGGAACTTATAGAAAACATATTCATATCATCGGCAAAAATCAGAAATGATAGTTTGTTAGAATATACGTGGACCCTGGATTGACCCTTGTGGTATTCCACATATCGTAGCTACGTAGCTGGATATAGTAGCCTTCACAGATTGGGTGCGACATTGTAAGTAGTTTTCAAACCTTAGTTTTCAAAGTTTAGACAACTGAATGTCATGCATGGTTCTAGAAAGAGACCTGAAGAAACCCATTTTTTTATCCATGGCCTTCCGAAGTTTATCAGTGGTTATTAAAATAGCTTGCATTTGCTCAGTTGATTATCCTCTCCTAACTCAAAATGACGCTTAAACAAAATACTATGTTTTTCTGAGAAGTTGTGTTGTTGGTTTTATATAGATTTGTCTTTCAAACACCTTACTACAAGGTAATAAAGGTGAAATATGCCTGTAGTTACCTGGGTGAGTAGCATCATCATGTTTGTAAACTCGAGTGACCTGTTACGTTTTCAGTACATTGGGTACAAATTATTAATATTGAACAGGTAACTGCCTGATTGCAATTTGGGTAAAAGGTACTTATAGTGGCTTAGCAGCTAATTTCATAAGTTAATTAGATATATACGATTGGACTATTTGCTTGCATTTAGGATTTTAAGCAAGGTAGAAACCTAAATGACAGTTTTAGTCAGAGATTCGGCTATTTCGTCCTCGGATAGCCATGAACGCCTTTCTCTTTTAAAGTTCACTTCGGCACAATCAGCTAGGCTGCCATGCTTAAAAGCTCTGCACTATCTCACATCAGTTATTTCCTGGTAAAAAGGCTGCTAACAATATCTGAATCTATTATTGCCTACATCTTCCAAATAATGTCAGCACCGGCTGGTCATTAAGAATTAGAGCCTATAAGAAACGGCGAATATTTTCAATGAACAATAATACTTGTCTAGCAGTTAAAACTCTGGTTTTAAGGTGTAGTTTACGATTTTTCTTCCTTAAAATTAATGTTAAATAAAAAGTTTTAGCCATCGGTATCTGTTTTGTTTTCAGGGGAAAATATAAAGGCCGCAAGCATCGCCGGGTTTTTTTTTTTGCGAAATGCTACCCTTTACTTGACATACAGCAGAATATACAAAGGGTTTCTCGTCCGGCCTCTGACTGGCTGTATTAGTTATAGCATATTATCAATACATTTAGCGGCTACTGTTGTTGTTCTTATTTGTATTGTACATGTGTTCCAATTTATCGCTTTCATTTGTCTTCTGGCTTCTTGTAGGTTTGACAATACCGATAGCCTTTGATCCAAATAGCCGTCCATCGAAAGCTTGAGCCTCTTGAAAACTTTTTCCTGACAACAGCTCGATGACGGCAATTCGAAACGGTTGTTTTTTTACTGTGTAAATTATCGGATTAATTACTGAATTTAACAAGAGAGGCAAAAGGCCTACTTCTCTCACCGCCATGAGAACATCAATGATTTCTTTGGCAAACAGTAGCCGAGCAATGACAGTTATTATCCATGGAGTCGTGTAGGAGACGGCAACTGCTGCGATTATTGTACTTGTAAGCTTTAACGCCCGTTTCTCCTTTTGAAATTTTAACCTTTCTTCCAGGGAAACTTGCTGTGCAAGAATTTGCTTTTCATGTCGGCGAACCTCTCTGTACACAATAACTTGAAGAGCGACGATTAATGAAATAGCTGCAATCTGTCTTAAAATTAAAATGACTGTTATTCTGGTTACTGTGGGCACGATAACCAGAATCAGTGTTGCAATCCAAGCTACAACAGAAGAGATGATTAGACGAGCTTTCGTGATTAAAATGCCATTAGCAAAGGAGTGTTTGATGGTGAAATATCGCTCAGCACTGATCAACACCGTGAAACAATGACGCTCCACAGAGAATCTGAACAGAGGCATTAAAAACCAGTGTAATGTGGCAAAATTTGTGGGATCGGTTGCCAAGCAACAGAAGAAGTGCGATCGAAACAT